ACATCCCGCTGCCACCAGGCTGCAGCCRCAGTCCTTGATGCTGATCCAGTCCTTGGCCCTCTCCTTACCTGAGAGACTGGGGGGCCCTGCCTCTATCAGGCCCCGTTTGTGACCACGCAGGGACCCTCCTGCCCTGCAGGAAGGACAGCCCCCCGTGCAAACCCCGCGGAGCCGGCGGGGCGCCTGGCTGGCAGCCGTGCCCGTGCGGAGCAGGAGGGAGCCGGGGGCGCGCGCGGCTTACGCTAAGCCGGGATTGAGCGGGGATCAGTTTGGCGGCAGCTGCCTCTGCTATAATTAGACGTCGGGTTGGCGAAGGGAGGCAGCGCGGGGCGCAGAGCGCCGGCGCCTCCCCGCGCRCAGCGCCGGACTGCAGGAAGGCGCCCGCTTTCCGAAGGGCTCCTTGGAGCGGCGGGATGGACCATGGGATGCATCTCCTGGAGCCCTGCACAGCGCTCCTCGCGTGGGGCTGCCCTTGCAGGGGAGCCTCTGGGGAGCCGGTGTCCCCTCCATGTGCACGGCACGCGCGGTCCCTACGGACACCTCGGGATATTTCCCTGCTTCCATAGGGCCCCGCCGCCCCGCTGCCTGCCAGGGATCCCCGGGGCTCTTCCCTGCACCCTGCGCCACGTCGCTCCGGGTGCTCCGTGCAAGCCCAGCCAGCGGGACGGGTGCAAGGGCCATGTCGGGSAGTCCCATGTCCCCATTCCCACCTCTGCTCCTGCCCTGGGGGWTGGAGAGGAGGGCGAGGCCCTGCTGGAAGGTGTTGGGAAGCTGCCGCTTTATCCAGAGTCCGGGTTTGGCAGATGTGGTGCAAGCAGCATCTGCAGGGCCCCCGGCTCAGCRTCGCCGCTCACAGGGTGCCACGACCCGCTGGCAAGGTGTGCGTTAAGGAGGACGAGCTCCGCGCTCACGGACGCGCCGAGAATCCCCCGCGCCCCGAGCTCTATCCCGCGCACGGGGCAGGCCCCGCTCTGCGCGTGGGGTGTGATGAGCCGCRGCCTTTCCCGGGACTCAGCTCCCGCCGTCCCTGCTAGCCAGGCGCTCCGTGCTATCCCTGCTCCTGCTACCGTGCAGTCTGTCAAACGCGTCGGCAAAGGGTCGTGAATGGAGTGTGGTGCCGGTGTGAGTGGTCCAGGCAGGGAATGGGATGCACAGGATGAATGGGATGCACAGGATGAATGGGATGCACAGGACGAATGGGACGCATGGGATGCATGGGATGCACGGGATGCATGGTTCTTCCCAGAGCAGCTTTGGCAGAGAGCTACCGGAGCGGAGCTGAGCGCTGCGCCGCAGGCTGCGCCGTGTGGAAACTGCATGTAGTGCATGCCAAGGGAGCTGGAATGGCATGGGGAGCACCGGGAGGGCATGGAGAGCGCTGGGAAGGGCATAAGGAGTACTGGTATGGCACGGAGAGCATTGGGAGGGCATGGAGAGCATTGGAATGGCACGGAGAGCATTGGGAGGGCATGGAGAGCATTGGAGAGGCATGGAGAGCATTGTGGAGAGCATTGGAAGTGCATGGAGAGCATTGTGGAGAGCATTGGAACAACATGGAGAGCATTGGAAGTGCATGGAGAGCATTGTGGAGAGCATTGGAAGGGCATGGAGAGCATTGGAAGTGCATGGAGAGCATTGTGGAGAGCATTGGAAGG